TATAAAAAGAATATTATTTTAGATGTTAGAGAAGCTAAAAAGGTAGTTTTAAAAAAATTAATTTTAGTTAAAAAAGATTAGACTAGGATTTAAAATATATAAAACGATCTTTTTCTTAAACTACCTAACCAAAGTCTCTAAAAAGATCTTAATTAAAAGACTAGCTTATTTAGCAAAGCTTTTAAAATTATTAAATAAAAAGTAGGGTCTAAAAGTTTATTATAGATATAGTTCTTATCCCTAATCCATAATATTTAAATATTAAAAAAAGAAGAGGCTTATCTCTATTTTATTTATTAATATAAAGAAAATATTTAATTATATATTATTAAATTAGCTATTAAAAATCTGCTTTAAGTTAGAGCTGCTTTTAGACTATTAAATAAATTTGATACTTTTTATCTAACAGGAATATCTAACCAATTTTCAATAATAATATTATTAAAAAGACACGTATTTTTATAAATATTCTTAAGATTCCTTTATCTCTCTTATCCTAATTCTTATTTATATCAGATACTTATTTAAATATAATAAAGAAATATATGAGGAGCTTAAGAGCTTTAAATTAGGTGTTAACTGGGCATCAACCTTTGTTAACTGTCATGATGAGCTTCATACACACTTCTCAATATGTTATGACTACCAGGATGCCCTAAATAAAGACCCTTAATCTTTATATGTGTGGTTTATGACTATATAGCATGTTATTAAAGAGAATAATATATAGCTAAAGGATATCTACAACTTTGATGAGATAGGATTTGCAATAGGGCTTATATCTATACAGAAGGTAGTTACATAAATAGATTTCTATAATTAGAGATATCTACTATAGCTAGGAAATTATGAATAAGTTACTACTATTAAAGTAATCTATGCAGATAGCTTTTCACTATCACCTTATATTATCTTTAAGGGCAAGGTTACTATTATAGGTTAATTTAATAACCTATCAAAAGGCTAGCAGTTTAAAGTCTCAAATAATAGCTAAACTATTAATAAGATTAGCTTATATTAGCTATTATAAAAGCTATTTATCTTATTAATAAATTCATGTGTACACAGCCAGTTTCAGCTACTGATTCTTGATAGCTATAAAAGCCACCTTATACCTTAATTTAACTGAATCTGCACAGAGAATGATATTATTCCTCTTTATATATCTTTATATTCTTTATATTTATTATAGCTGCTTGATGTTGGGTGCTTTGCAATACTTGAATATATGTATAGTCACTTCATAAGTGATCTCACACATAGAGGATATAGCTATATTAATAAATTTAATTTCTTTAATAACTATTAATATATACAGCTAGAGGTCTTCTAATAATCAGCTATTATTCAGAATAGCTTTACAGCTAGTGGCCTAGTACTAATTAATATGAAAAGAGTGCTTTTAAAATTTAATATTTCTCTATAAATGCCTACACCACTAAGCAGCTGGCCAAGCAGCAGATCTAGCTAATTCACATTAAAAATACCCAGAACTGTGGTTCAGCTATAAGGTAAGTTTTAATGCTTAAAGATCTGCTAAAGCAGCAGTCAAATAGCCCTCTAAGCCTATCAAAAACTATATTAGGTCAGATTATTAAGGGCCACTGCATAGCACTACACAATACCACACTTCTAATATAAGAAAATATAGATCTATATATAGCAAATAAGAAGGTGGTAAAGAAGTATACTTAGTCAACTAAGTAGATACCCTACAAAAGGGTTTAACTATTAAAGAGGGCCTACAGCTAATTGCACAGCTTGATTTATCAGAAGAAATACTTGTGGTAGATTCTTATATGCAGGGCAAATTGCCTATTCAGGCAAATCAGCCAGTCACCAGGGCTTTACCTAGGTGTAGTGGGTGTAGGGAGATTGGCCACAGAATCAATACATGTAAAAATGGCTATATTTAGTTGAATTAATAGGTGTTGGTTGAGATAATCGATTTTGAAATCCTCTAATGGGGTGGGTGTGCCGCTCGGCCGTGAATTACGTTATATGGTAGAGAAAACAAAGATATCTATCTATTAGATAGATATCAGAAACTCTATAATTAAGCTCTTAGAAAGATTTTAAGGGCTTTTAAGATCTCTTCAATCCAAGTTATGGAAATGGAAGCCTCCCTACCTCCTTTTAAACTTAGATTCAAGAGAATATGCAGATCTTATATCCTTAGGACCTTATCCTTTAATCAGAGCTATATAATTAGCACTAGGCTATTAGCCACCTTCACCCTAAATATAAGAGAATTTGAACTAGACTAAATAGAGAGCTAGACTAGACTAAACTAAAGAGGCCTTTCTAAGTCTTTAACTTCTTAAGGTCAAACTATTCTCTGAAAGAGGGTAGGCAGCTTAGAAAGGCTTATTTTAGCTAATTAATTAGGCTATTATCTTACTATCTATCTTAGAAACGGCAGAGGCACTTAAATATCTTTGTTATTGAATCCCCACTGACAGGACTTAGAGATAAGATAAAGATAATTATTTCTTTTAGATTAAAAAGACAAGTAACCTTAGATTATTAGTCTTTTATTTATAGCTAAGTCTAAGAAAATATAGATAATAAGTTTATTATCTATTTTAATAGCTCTTAATCTAGTAAAAGGTTTAATAATATTAATATCTTTATCTTTAATATCTCTTTTATTATATAAGAATCCTATGCATAGATTCTATGAGAAGAATATAAGGTTTTTAATATAGTTTTATATTATTTGTGATGGACCGGTCCTCATCTCTGCACTGATCACATGATCCATCATGCAATCTGGACGCGACTATATAGCGCGTCAGACCAGGGCGTCTTCTTTTTCTTCTTTCTCTTTTCATTCCTCCATGTTTGAGGTTCTTATCAAACAGCTGCCTAGTTAATTAAGTAGCATCATATTTAATCCTAGTTTGAGCTCTGTGACATTATTTATTAAATAGTTTAATTAGCTAGAGCTAAGCTAGCCTATAGCTCTATTATTAGAGAGATGTAGATCTTTTTAAATGACTAGACAGCTATCTAAAGGCTTTAAAAACTATAAATTATTTTACTGAGATAATAATTATCTTCGAGGCTATATGAGATGTACTAGATATCTATCCCTCTCTATACTTTCATTTTTGTTAGGTCCCTAGTTATTAAAAGATCTATAATAATAAGAAAGCTAATGAGACAGCTAAATATAAAACTGACTGGCTAGATCCTATTTTAAAGATCCCTATCTTATATAGCTTTATGAAAAGGGACCTTAAGACTAGGACCCTAGCAGAATAATAGATATCCTAGAATCTAGCTAAGACTTAAGCTAATAGGCATTATTATTAATTTAAGAGTCAGCCTAAATAAAGGCTAAAATTTTTAAAGCTTTTTAAATAGCTCTAGTCCTCCCTTATCTAATTAAAATTAAGATATAGGTATTTTAAGTCTTATCTAGTTAGGCTATTAGGCTATAATATTGAGAACTGCCCTAATTATTATTATTAATATAAATAAGATCTTTATTATCTTATCTTAGACTACTTAGCATACAATTAAAAAAAAGATAATATTATAAATTAGTTTTCTTTTAGGGATAGATCCCTATTATATCTTTTTATTATTAGGATAGGGTAAGAAATATTTTTAATTTTTTTAAAAGCTACAAAGATTGCTATTAGAAAGCAGCTTTTAGATATTTAAAAAAATATTGCTTGTTTAGGAGTTTGAAGTTAGGTTTAATATCTATATCACTTTATTTCTACTTTTTCTAACTCTCTATATATATTCCTCTCCTTATCTAGCCATATTTATACCTTCAATCATATTTACCTAGGTATTTTTTTATCTTCTCATTCCCTATACCTGTCATGGAGCTCAATCAAGATAGAATAGAGAATGATATTTGGGCCATCATGGCAGCTATTGACAAGAATATCAAGCATGGGAGGAGAGGGGGGAGGGATCCAGCTCCAGCTCTTACCCGCGAAGATATTCCCTGTGTATCACATGACCAGCATATGATCTAACCGAGTGAGCTTCCTAGCTAAACTATCTATTGAACGACCAGGTCGTGACAATACCTTTCTATTATCTATATAATATCCCTCTACTCTATTCTTTTCTTTATCTCATATTCTTTACTATCTATCTTTATTCTATTGTCTCTATTACCCCTATTATCCGACTCTTACATAGCAAAGCCTATTTCTGTCCTTAGCTAGCTGACCCGAATCCTCCTTCAGAAGGGGGTAGACCATGTATAATCTTAGACTGAAGAATGGTCTTTAAAATGGAAGTCACTACTACTACTACTATTATTATTATCAATATAGAAAAGAAAAGATAAAAGAGAATGAACGATCTATTCAGAATAAAGTGAGTTTATCAACTACCAAAGGTAGGGAGGATTGAAGAGGAAGGAATTCTTTAAGAAAGGTAACAATCTAGGTAGCATCAACCACCAACATGTAATGGTTGTAATGTATTGGGATATACCAGGGTCCAGTATCCTGCTAGATAGATCTAACCTCTTTTTCAATGAAAAGTATACTTGTTTTGTGGTGTTGAAAAGCACCAGGTTTAGAATGGTGGAATTTATCATTGTCAGCCCACCTTATACTGCCAGCACAGACTGCCCCTGTGACCCATAAGGGAGACATCTCCCACTTCTGTTTCGATCTCATTGCAGCTCTTTAAGCTACATATTATCTATATTCCTGAATATAGCCTGACCTGTAGCTTGTCTGAGTGTTCAATCCAATCTATACCTGTTACATGAACCTGCACCCTGACAGAATTCGTGGAGTTTGGAGCCGCTCGGTGGTCGATTACGTTACACTGCCTAAGCCGAGGTAGCATTAAAGTCATGTGACTAACAGTCATCAAGGTTGATTAAAATTGAGTGTGCACTGCACGGTCACATTAGTCCGCCGTAGGTAGCCTGGACACATGACTCATTTGCCGAGTGAGTCTATTGGACAACACAAATCGCCTTCTTTAACCCAAAACCCCTCCCAGCTATACTATATCCCTCTCTCAACACTAGCCCAGTGCACATAAAACCAAGCTCACACTGGTCAACACTATGCTCGATCTCAATGACTTTGTCACTGACCGCGGTGGAAATCCCAACGGGATCAAAGAAAGCCAGCGCAGGCGGTTTGCACCAGAAAATGTAGTCGATGAAGTTATCACGCTATATGAGGAAGCACGCCGAGGTAGGTCTCCTTAGATTCTTGATGCATCAATTCACTTGAGGGAATAGACTGATAACAGGCATGCTTCTACAGCACGGTATGAAGTAATGCAAGTTGGTTCCCAACTGAATGCGTTACTCAAACAAATTGGAATGAAGAAGAAGGTTGGCATACATTCGCCTTGTGATTCGCACCATGACCTAATGGGCCACCTTCAACCAGAATAAAGAAGATGCGACGGATTTGATGGAGCAAAAGGCCAAGTTTGAGAAGCTCAAGAAAGATGCCGAGGACATTGCTCTCCAGAAAGAGAGTGAGAGAGACAAAAAGATTTGTGCAATTGGGAACTATGTCCATGATTCTGTTCCTGTGAGTAACAATGAGGTGAGTGACATGTTCCTTCCCTTGCCTTTCACGAGGCGGAGGCTGTGGAGGCAATGCTCATATATTGTCTCTAGGACGATAATGTTGTGGTCAAGAAGTGGGCTCCATCAAATGTCACCGTCGAAAAGCGCAATTGTCTTTCCCATCATGAGGTCCTAACACGTTTGGATGGATATGATCCAGAGCGTGGTGTCAAGATCGTCGGTCATCGCGGGTATTGTTTGACTGGTTACGGTCTCTTTCTCAACCTCGCGCTTGTAAATTATGGTCTGGAATTTCTCTGGAGGAAGGGATATAAGCCCAATCAACCGCCATATTTCATGCTACGGGATTTCATGGCAAAAACAGCGCAGCTGGAACAGTTCGACGAGGAGCTGTACAAAGTTACTGAGAGTGAGGATAAAAGCACTGACAAGTACCTTATTGCAACGTCAGAGCAACCTCTGTCTGCATTGCATTACGGGGAGTGGCTACAGGACAAAGATCTACCAATCAAGTAAGACAGACTTTGGCCTTTGTCTTTGAAATCAAGTTTGACCGTGAAACAGGTATGCTGGCTATAGCACTTGCTATCGCAAAGAGGCAGGTGCCCATGGCAAAGATGCGTGGGGTATCTTCCGTGTTCATCAATTTGAAAAGGTACCGTTTTGGCCATGTATTGTTATTTTTTTTATTTCTGACTTCTTTCAGATTGAGCAGTTTGTATTGACGAAACCTGACGACTCATGGAGGGTCTTCGAGGAGATGATGGCAGTCTCAGAAGAGTTCTATCAGTCGCTCGGTCTTCCGTACCAGGTTGTTGCAATTGTTTCAGGGGCACTGAACAATGCAGCAGCCAAAAAATATGACCTGGAAGCATGGTTTCCATTCCAAGCCGAATACAAGGAACTAGTATCCTGTTCAAACTGCACTGACTACCAGGCCCGAGCATTGGATATCCGATATGGTGCAAAGAAAACTACTGACATAAAGAAGACCTATGTACATGCGCTGAATGCTACTCTGTGTGCTACTGAAAGGGCACTTTGCTGTATCTTAGAGAACTACCAACAAGAAAATGTATGTCTCCTGTCTAGGATTCATTCCATTGTGTACCACTGTTGCTGACTTGAAATACAGGGCCTGACTGTCCCAGAGCCCCTTAGGAAATACATTCCAGGTGCCCCTGAATTTATTCCATATACGAAAGAACTCCCTAAAGACACCACTTCCAAGCGGACCAGGACAAAAACCCCTGGTTCCAGTGGAACTCTGGAGGCTGAGAAGAAAATGCAGAGCTTGCAGGTCTAGGTATCAGAATTTCCATTTTGGAAATGGAGCCAGCTAAAGTGATGCCAACAAGGGCCATTATATAATATATCTGATCGAATACCGCAAAAAAACTTCATTCGGGTTTCGTTGATATTGCATGTGCGTATCTTGTGTTAAGGAATGCAGCGTCCATTGATTAAATCCGTAGTATTGATCTGATTGATGATTGCCAGTTGTCGAGGAAACTCGCTATTGAGGCCGAAGAACTACACTAGCTACATACACAATCTGCCTAGTTCTAAGAGCTTATTATTTTCTCTGTATACTCGAGCTCTGATAGTAGGATTGTGTAAGAGACATTAAAAACACATGTAGCTTCACGAATAGAGTTCCTCTCTGTTCCTGATAATTGATATTGCAGGTAAAACTCCCTCTTTCTCAATTGAATTACTTGAGCTTGTACGTGCTCTTGGTGACATGGTGGATCGTTGAATTGCCTTGATTTTTTGCTCATGACCAAAACGCGTGTCTCTGATTTCGCCTCTATAGAATGCCTCTAATACTGTTCTATCCACCACATGTGGTGGTGTCTTTGCAAAAAGGGGCAACTGCATATGCTTCTGTTGCCACAATTTCCTAGGGGCAAGCGAAGTGTTCCACCACATACAATGGTGACAAAATCGGGGATATTGTAGATAGATACCCTGAACTGGATATTGTTATGATTCAGCCCACTCCAGCCAACTCTAGTCGGTTTTTGAACCAGATATACTTTCAGGCTGAGCTACTGACACCTGGCTGAAAAGGCTGACTTGGTCTAGGGGACATGGTTTGAGGTTCAGAAGATGAGTACCAGCTTGCTTTTATTCCTATACATTGGGAACGCACTAAAAAGACCTGTAAAGTCATTAGGACATCCTGAGATTCCATTTCTTAAAATGGAGATGCAATACCATGTTTTGGCGCGACAAATGTGGCTGAGTTTGATACCCTCTTGACCAATCAGAACATGAACAAATTAAGACCTTCACTAGGTGTGCTGGATTCTCCATCCATCCCAAAGAAACAACAATTCTTGTTATTGGAATGGGATAATATTGAAGTTCATTACTGAAACTACATCATCTCACCATAATGTCGTTTTCTAATCTTGTCTCAGACATTGCTTTCAGGGATGCCCGCCCTGACGACTCCAGTTCCCAGGTGTCCCATCAGCGCTCACAAACCACCAGGCATTCATACGCAAGCACTGCAGCTACCAGTGTTAGCATATCTGGTGACATATCCAGTCAATTACACGCTGGCTACAACCATCCACTGAGCAGGTCATGGCAAGCTGAAAGGCAATTAACTAAGGTTTGTGACGTTTTCCGCAAGCAGCCCAGTAACTGAATATACCGGTACTAAAACTCCGTTTTCCCAGGAAATGCTCATATACCCTCTTTTCGTCACCGATAATCCTGATGAGGAAACACCCATACCATCCCTCCCTAACCAGTACCGTCGAGGGCTAAACCGCCTAATCCCATTTGTTAAGTCACTTGTTAGGAAGGGGCTTTCTTCGGTGATCTTGTTTGGGGTGCCTCTTCATCCTTCTGCGAAGGATGCGCTAGGAACCTCCGCAGACGACCCTTCTGGCCCGGTTATTCAAGCAATACGTCTTCTTCGATTTCATTTCCCTAGTCTCTACATTGTGGTTGACGTGTGTCTCTGCGAATATACATCGCATGGTCACTGTGGCATACTGAGAGAAGACGGGACACTTGACAACGCGCAGTCTGTGGACAGAATTTCGGATGTTGCGTTAGCGTATGCTGTGGCTGGTGCTCACTGTGTCGCACCTTCAGATATGAACGATGGGAGAGTGCGTGCAATAAAACTCAAGCTCATCGAGGCTGGTATTGCACATCGTGTCCTATTGATGTCTTATAGCGCGAAGTTTAGTGGTTGCCTATATGGACCCTTTCGCGATGCAGCGGGCTCTTGCCCTTCATTCGGAGATCGCAGGTGCTATCAGCTACCCCCGGGAGGTCGCGGCCTTGCTCGACGTGCAATACAGAGGGATGTCGCGGAAGGGGCGGATATTGTAATGGTGAAACCTGCGAACAGCTACTTGGATATCATTAGGGATGCCAAAGAGCTAGCGAAAGACATCCCTATTGCAGCGTACCAGGTCAGCGGCGAGTATGCTATGATTCACGCTGGAGCAAAGGCAGGCGTTTTCGATTTGAAGGCAATGGCATTTGAGAGTATAGAGGGTATTCTGAGGGCTGGTGCTGGTATTGTTGTGAGCTACTTCGTGCCGGATTTTCTGAATTGGTTATCTTAGACACCAAGGTATAATGGCTGGATAAATGGAGTATGTTTATTAATATCATCGTCCCTTGACCATGGGTGGCTCATTCTCTCGAGATTCTCATTTGTTTAAGCCTGCGATGCCCAAACGTCACCAGCTGCACCGGCCTAGTTACTCACCTTGCCCTCTGGAACCCATATTCTCAGTAGGGTGCTTTAGTATAATGCTCGAAATTCTTGCGCGCTCACACAACCGTCTAAGCTCTGTGGTGTGTGCAGTATTGTTGATCCTTCTATACGGGGACTGTCGAATCACCGCTCTGACACTGCCCACCCCGAAAATAATTCGCTCAATACGGAGAAAATCCTTATGAACCCTCGACTAAACAATCGAGTATGCTATCTGCCAGTTGGTACTTGGGCCTGCTGAGTGCACCTGTTCATGTATGCTATCGAGGTTGTGGCCGCGTACGGCCACTTCAGGTGGTTTTTATTTGGAATCTGGCCCTTATCATCGTCATCCATCTAGATAAACTGAGGAAAGTTCCAAAAAAGAAAAATATATGAGATCAGAATTTGTATGTGGACCATATTTTATGATAATTCTCTACTAATCGTGCCAACAGCTCTACAGTGGTAGACCCCTGAAAGATTCCCCAACTATTACAGGGGCTTCTTGGAGTACTACTGTACATAGCTAGAGCCTATGGGGCATAACTAACTGTAACTAATGTAATCAAGCACTGAACTGCGAATACCACCGAGCTGCAAATTTCTCGCTGACCTCCACCACCTGATTAGAAATTAATGCTTTTCCAACCACCAACACCATTAAATTAGACTGTATAGTAGTGCATTATACAGCTATTTAGTAGTGCAATTCCTTATTGTATGACCAACAGTCCTATAACTACTGCAGTGTTGTGGAGCACACTTCTGAGACCTAAAGATAGGCTCCTCAATCTATGTATTTAGCTCTTGAACATGCTGCTGACCTTTCTGTACAAAGATAGTGTCTATATCTAAACTAACCTATTTTTATGTTCTCTTCTTAATCTTCTTTTCATTTTCTGCCTATAGAGATTTGATTTCTTGATAAAAAAGAGTATTCATATTCATTGCTGTATATACAGCCCTTTCAAAATGTTGTGGAATATGCATGTAACTCAGGGAAGAAGGGCAGAATGAAGCTGTATCGACTACACGTACGTAGCCTACTAAGGAACGGATGCCATTCTGTTCTATCTCTCTGATGCTCTCTCTACATATAATCAGGGGCCCGGATTCTCAGGGGTTGGAGAGGGAGCCAAGCCACCATACCACGTGACCTTTTCCATATCACAAAATATTAGAGATGAGACATGGGACTGTTAGATAGCTGCCTTTTTTATTTAGACTTTTTTATGGGTTCTGATTTTTATGATTTAGTGAAAATTCTAAGGCGTCTAAAGAGTAAAAAGGAGACTAAGCCTTCCTAAAAAGATAATAAAGTGGGGTATTATGTTGAAAAGTTATTTTTGTAAAGATCCTCTCTTTATCTAATAGTCTTTGGACCTAATTTAGTAAAGCTATCATAGATATTTTTTTAGATACTCTTTAGCATGCAGATGGATAAAGAGATAAAAGTCTTTTTTTATCAATATAGTGATGATGATGATGACTTCATTTTAGAGACCATTTTTCAGTCTAAGACTATGCATGGTCTACCCCCTTCTAGATGAGGATTTGGGTCAGCTAGCTAAAAGACATGAATAGGCTTTGCCATATAGGAGTCAATAACAGGGGTCACAGAGACAGTAGAATAGAGATAAATAGTAGGGATATGAAATAGGCATAAGAATAGAGTGGATGGTTATTTCAAACATAGGAAAAAGAGCTAAGGAATGATAAGATAGAAATAAATGGCTAGATAAATATAATTTGTCAAGGTGCGGGCTCGCAGGTAGTCAAAAACAGATTGATTAAGTAGTCGATACTCGGATTAGCTACGGGATCTCTATCTATCAGGTTCTAACTGCAGGACGGGCTGGTGCAGGCAGGCTCAATAGACAAGACGTAGCTCGAAGAGCTTCAGTCAGTATCTAACTGTGCGGTGAAGATATTTACTAGACCACGTGACTTCTCATGTGACTCCTTACTGGAGTCTCCTGCTTCTGTCCACGGTAGCACCGTGACATAATTAAAGGTATAAGATAGCCAGATAAGGAGAGGTGTATATATAAGGATAGAAAAATTAGAGATAAAGAAAGTGATACAGATAATAATTAATATATTAAACATAATAAACTTTAAAAAAGCAATAATTTTTTTTAAATATCTAAAAGTGACCTTCTAATAGCAATCTTTATAATTTTTAAAAAATCTAAAAGTGCTTCTTGCTTTATCCTAATAGTAAAAAGATAAAATAAGGATCTATTCTTAAAAGAAAGCTAATTTATAATAATATCCTTTTCTTAATTATAGGCTAAGTAGCCTAAGATAAGATGATAAAGATCTTATTTATATTAATATTAATAATTAGGGCAATTCTTACTATTGTAATCTAGCAGCCTAATTAAATATAATCTAAAATATCTATATCTTAATTTTAATTAAATGAGAAACGACTATAAATTATTTATTTAAGAAATCTTAAAAGGCTTAGCTTCTATTTAAGCTGACTCTTAAATTAAGAATAATATCTATTAGCTTGGGTCTTATCTAAATTTTAAGATATCTGCCATTTTGCTAAGATCCTAGTCTTAAGGTCCCTTTTCATAAAGCTATATAAGATAAGGATCTCTAGAATAAGATCTAGCTAGTTAGTTTTATATTAGCTGCCTTATCAGCTTTCTTATTATTATAGATCTTTTGATGGCTAGGGACCCAGTGAAGATAAAAAGATAGAGAGGGATAAATATCTAATAAATTTAATATAGCCTCAGAGATAGCTATTATCTTAATAATGTGATCTTTAATCTCTTAGAGTCTTTAGATAGCTGCTAGCTATTTAAAAGGATTTATATCTCTCTAATAATAGAGCTATGGGCTAACTTAACTCTAGCTAGCTAGATTATTTGATAAATAATATAAAACTTTATATTAAAGATCTTATATTTTTCTCCTAGATTCCACATCTAGGATTCTTATATAGTAAATAAGATATTAGAGTTAAAGATATTAACATTATCAAATCTCTTACTAGATTAAGAATTATTAGAACAAATAATAAAGCTTATTATTTATCTCTTCTTGGACCTAGCTATAAATAAGAGACTGATAGTCTAAGGCTACTTATTCTTTTAATTTAAGAGACAATTATCTTTAAGTCCTGCTGACTATGACAGAGATTTAATAATAAAGATATTTAGGTACCCTTGCAATTCCTAAAACAGATAGTAAAAGAATAGCCTAATTAACTAGCTAAGATAAGCCCTCTTAAGCTGCCTACCCCCTCTAAAAAAATAGTTTGACCTTAAAAAACTAAAGACTTAGAAAGGCCTTTTTAGTTTAATCTAATCTAGTTTAGTTTAGTCCAATTCAAATTCTCCTAGATTTAGGTAGGGTGAAGGTGGCTGATAGCCTAGTCCTAATTACATGACTCTAATTAAAAGATAAGGTCCTACGGATATAAGACCTACATATTCTCCTAAATCTATTAGAAGTTTAGAAGGAGGTAGGGAGGCTTCTATTTCCATACGTAGATTGGAGAGATTTTAAAAGCCCCTAAGATCTTCTTAAGAGCTTGATTCTGGAGTTTCTGATATTTATTTAGTAGATATCTGTCCTTTCTATTATATAAGAATCTTATAACGTATTTCACTAGCGAGCCGCCACTTCCGCTCCAACTCCTGCCCATAGGCTAAATACTAAAGGCTTTATCAACCAAACAATTATATTTCTATATAAAAACTAATTACTAAGTTGTTTAGGACATCTAACTCTAGTATATACTCAAACGTGACAATTAGAACACTGTGGTGGTGCTTGTACATATGGCCCAACTAAAGAAAGTGTTAGAACTATAGGGATAGTATCCTAAGCTTCCTAAATCTTATTCTTATGCTGAAATTGCTCTAGGCCCTCTTAGAGAAATAAGCCCTTTGCAATAGCTAGCTGTCTATTAGATTCTTCCATTTTTGGCCTTTCCATTCATTATTAATATGATATTTACATATTTCTTCCTTTGCAAGGACAAGCTTATTAAGTGTTAATTTATGATCTTTAATAATCTTCTCTAATCACACTTCTAACAAATGTAAAGGACTTTAAGTATATTCCTTATGTAGTTTTCTTGCTATAGATACTTGCTTCTCCAGCTATCTAATAGTATAGGGTATTTTAGATGCTAAATTAGTTAACTAACTGTCTGGTGGTGTAGAAGTCTCTAGTTAGACATCTAACTTGCTAAATATTTTAACTAAATTAAATAGGACTAGACTAGTAATTATAAAGCTACTTTAATAATACCTATCCATATTTTCTGCTGCACTAACTTGTTATATATATTTTTTTTTTTTAAAAATTAGAAATAGCCCACATCTAAAGGCTAAAAGTTATTAGAAGAATATGCAGTGTCACGGAACTCAACTAGACGATGAATAGGATGCTATTCAGCTACCTAGGCAGCTATCGACGAGAACTTCAAGCATGGAGAGGAAGGAAAAAGGGAAGAGATCTACGTGAAGCTGGACGACGTACTCCTATCCACGCGCCACACTAATCCAAGTAAGGAAGTTCACGTGCTCGTCCTGGTCTACATGGCAAGGTGGGAGGCACTCCATGTCAATCTAATAATAGAATCCATCATATAAGTAATTATTCTTTATTTTGGGACAATTTATGATTATTAGCATGTTTCATTGCGATATTTGCTGCCATGAAGTTGGTCATGTAAAGTTGAATATGGTACATTATAGACCCACACAGCTTTAGCAATTTGGGTAATCTACTTGCTTTCTATAGCAGAGATTGCTAATAGAATTCTACCCTCTTGGCTCAGCTTAATTTTTTGAATCCTCACGCGATTTTGGAGGCATGATGGATGGTTGAGTTGAATTGACGAGTGAGGTTTTTAATCGCGGTCAAAACTCGTTGTGCTGGCGGCTCGCTAGTAAAATACGTTAATTAGTAATTAAAGCAATATAAGCAATATAAAGCTATTTTATAACTTAGAAGCTAAAGCCTTTTTTAATATTAGAGAGCCTCTTAATCTAATAGAATATTTTAGTAGCTTTTTTTATCTTCTATTTTATATAATTATAAGATAGCAACTTTTGATCTAGATAAATTTTTAATTATTTAATCATACTATGGGCTTAAGGGTAAATTTTATATTATTTAATATGACTTTAATTTGATCTAAATCCGCTCTTCTTTTAATATAGAAATATAAATCAAGTCAATCCTTTTTAATCAAATTGAATTAAGCTTTTTTTTAAATAGCTATTTAGTTTAGTTATCTTTTAAAAGATTTAATAATTTAGTTTTAAAGATCTAGAGCTAGTGATTAAAGCTATATTATTAATATAATTTAAGAATCTAAATAAAATTTTAAGCGTCTTATCTATTTTCTTATTATATTTAAATAGGTATCTGATACATAAAAAATATAAGAAAATTTCAAAAAATATCATAAAGATAAAAGTCTCTTTAATAATATTATTATTAAAAATTAGTTAAATACTTTTATTAAATAAAAAATATTAAATCTATTTAATAAATAAAGATTAAAGGCAACTTTAGCTTAAAATAATTTTTTAGCAGTAATAATATATAATTAAATACCTCTTTTATATTAATAAATAAAGTAAAAGTAAGCCTCTTCTTTTTCTTTAAGATTTAAATATTATAGAAGGATAGGACTATATTTATAATAAACTTTTAGATATTTTTTTATTTAATTATAGTATAATAGTCTATATTTTAAAATCTCTTAGTTAAGATCTTTAAAAAGATCTTGTCTAGGCAGTTTAAGAGAAAGATAATTTTATATATCTTAAGCTTAGTCTAATCTCTTTTAATTAAAGCTAATTTTTTAGAATTACCTCTTTAGCTACCCTCTAATATTTAAGATTATTAATATCCTTTCTTTATAAGAAGTTAATCAAACTTATTGAATTTATGAAGTATATTTTTTATTTTTTTAAATGATTTAAAGAAAATACTGTTAGGACTAGGTACTTTATAAATAAAACTTAAAAAAATAATTTTTTTAATTTTTTCCCCTCTATTTCTAGCTATTCCTAATCTTTAGCTTAATAGGTAGACTAATCTATGAATTTTAAGTTAGATAAGGCCTAGAAAAAGGTTAAAACTAATATATAAATTTTTTGAGGAATATGACTGCTGTAGCT